GTCCAAAAAGGATGCTTTAAGTCGAATTCATAACCTCACAATTTGGTGAGAATTTTTCAAAGCATTTTCTGAAGGCAAAACTTACATTATGTATTGTGATAAGGCAGAATTGAGTGTTGAAAGAGTCTAAAAAGCGATGAAAAACGCTTTTCAAGACGTTCAGAAGTGTCAGGAAGTGATGAAGCCACATTATCTCCCCCTTGGGTTAAATTATTGTGTTTAAAGAGATGTTTGAACAATTATTTCAGAAGTTCTGTGCAATTTTTCTTCCAGTGAATTAACTCGATAACAGAAAGCGTTGGGAGAATTTTTTGAGATAATTCACGATTGGTGGAAAGAGCTTAAAACTTTTAAATCTAGCAAAGTTGATTCAATGCGCCACGAGATACGACAAGAATTATTTACCTCAGCTTCTTGTGATAAGGGAAATGGAGTATAGTGAAGAAGTCAATTTTGAGTTTACCCACCCGAGATCTCGCAGGGTTTTTTCCTCGCCACCACCTCAGGGTAAGAGGAATTCAAATGAAAGATTGTCCATGGAATGCCTTGAGAACTCTCGGGAAACAATTCTAATATTGGGGTGAAATGTGATGCTGAAGGAAAGGAAAAAGGCACAATTCACTGAATTTCACGATAAAATGAATTAATTTTTTTTTCTTCTTCTTGCTTCTCCTTTGGAGTAGAAAGGAAACTCCGAGATTGAATTTTCTTTGTTTTTCTTCTCCTCTCAATACGATTGAATTCAAGGGGTGTTTTATAGCTTGATTTCACTCCGTGATTTTCACCAGTGGTTCTCGCTCTCGTTTTTCGCGGAGCGATAAAAAATTTACCTAATGGAAGAAGCTGTAAAATTTTTCGCGGTGAAAAATGGTGAAACTAAGCGGAAGAAGAGCTCAATTTACCTCTTTGTCAGACTATGTCTTTCCCCCCCCCTCCAAACCCATGAGGAAATTGGCTGAATGGTCGCAGAAAGGGAAATCAGAAGCCTCGCAAAGGCACCAAATATTCTCCGTTATCTCTGCTTTTCCTTGACTTTTAATTCTCTCCAAATTGTCCAACTTTTTAAAGGTTAATTCTAAAGTTGATTATTTGCTTTATCAGATTCGCTCGCAATTTTCAGTGGGGGTGGAAGTTATATTTTTCGCTCGAGCAACTGCGACAGCGATTCACCGTCTGGAGGACAAAATACGCCAGGCAAAAGAATGGCAAAGAAGAAAAACGACAAAACTCAGTGGCTGGAGGGGAGAACATGAATTTTCTTATGTTAATAATGCTCTAAGCCATATATTCCCACCTCCGTGACTGGAAGCATATTTAAAGTTTTCCAGAGAGGCTGCTCGAGAGAGCCAAAGTTGAGAATGGTGTAAGAAGAGGTCTGGAAAAATGCTCAATTCCTCCTTCGACTGGCGGTATTTTCGTCTTGCGCGAAGGGAAATCTGGTAAGTGGAAAAGATGCTTTTTTCCGGCGAAATGTTCAAGGAGAAAAAGGGAAAGAATGGAGCAAAATCAATTATACTGTGACAATCAATTTTACCTCGTCGCTTCTTTCGCCATCGCTTCCTTTTTCTCACACCATTTTCTTGGCCATGAAAAGCGGCTCATGCGTTTGAAAAAGGGACGGAGAAATCTTGATTAAATAATTGCTTTAGACACAATTAAGTCATCTCAATCAATTGAATGATGCTCAAATTTTAATTGCCAATATAACATAAAGCTTTTAAACAATCTCACAATTGACGGGACTCGTTAACAAATCAAAGATGAAATGATTAGTCTTTTAACGAGCAATTTTGCCCCAAAAGATTATCCACTGATAAATTAACGAGCAGCATAGAAACAGGCACGATAAAGTATTATGACCCATTGACAGAAAATTAATTGGAATTAATTTATTTACTTCGATTAAAAGCCAGAGCAATTTGCAATAATGCAAAGAGGAAAATTTTAGGAACAAGAATCACTTTCTAACAATTTATCTGGTAAAAAATAACCCATTATTAATACTTCCAAGGTTTTTTTTGTCTTTACAAAGGAAGAATTAAGAAGTAATTCGCTTAATTTGAGAAAAAAGTGAGTTTGTTTTTAGAAACACTCTTTTTACAATTTTTCAGGGTTGTTTATAGAAACAGAAGGGTTGAATTTCCAATACTTTGCGAGGGGTTGCTAATATGGATTTTTAACGTCTCAACATCTTGCGTTTCCGTTGCATCGCGATTCGTTCCGAAGAAAGTTCCGTTCAAGATTGAGACATCTTAGAAAATATGCCCAAAATGACGGAATCGAAAATATGCGCGGAATTTAGAGGAAAAGAGAAGAAAATTAAGGAGAAAAATATATTTTAGGTGTCAAATTGTCTCTCCGGGACAAATTTTAGGTCCGAAAATATTTATAGAAATATTTTTTAACCAGTTTGGAGATCAAAACAATTTTAGAAAAATAAATCTGTGAGAAAAAATGTATTTTGAAGGTAGAAAAGAGAATTTAAAGTCAATTTTAAGGGAATATTTAACAGTTAAAGGAAACTATACGTTTGTTACTACCCTCGACAAGAGATTTTCGTCAACATTATTAAAAATCTTCTTTTGTGCAAAAAACAGGAGGTTTTTCCAGTTTCACACTTGTTTTTATCCCAAAACCTTGAGTAAAACCGTAAATATCCGATTAAAGATCAAGTATTAAGATAACAAAGTCTATTTATGAGTGTTTGTAAGCTTTTCAGCTAAGAAATTCGCTTTTGACTCTTTAAAAATTGTGCACAATTATTTTATAAAAACATTTTGAAGAGATAACAAGATAAAATATTAATTTCTTTATCGAGAATAACTACGAAATTGCTCAGCGATGAAATGAATCAAATGAGAATTACACGAAATAAATGCATCGCGATTCACTGAAAATGAACCAAAGATTCATGAAGAAAGAAATGTATTTTTTGGATGCTGATTTTGCATCTCGAGCCAAAAGTGGCACTGCATCCCCAATATTAGCAACCCCTTGATACCTTGGCTTAATTTTGGATCCATTTAAGAGATTTTGAAGATGATTTAAAGATAAAATTAAGAAAATCTGAGAGTCAATTTTAGAACATTCTGAGATAATTCTCAGATTTTCCAAAATCATCCCAAAATATTCTTAATTCAACAATCGAGTCGTCTCGACTATGCTCAAGAAGAAATAAGGAATATTTTCTAAAATTTCTCTTCATTTCACCCCTAAATAAATCCCATCTGTGCAATAATTCCTCAAAATTGGACTGCGAACGTGAATCACGCAAATTCTCTCTATCTTTCTGTCTGGCTTGGGAGTTCTTGGGCTGTGGACTATCTGCTACAATGCATAATGGATCATCAGCAAGCATAATTGCGCAACACAGAATTATGATCAATAAATGCATATCGGCATTTGCCAATTGTCCAAATTCACCCCATTAATCTTCCTCTGATAAGAAAGCTCCCTCAGCTGATAAAATTCACTATAATCCGCAGACAATTTGTATAATGGTGGATTTGCCAATGCCCATAAATAATCTCTCTAATGGGGATGCAAACAAATTATTACTCTCATTGTTTTATTGTTTGGCACAGTAATTAAATATTTATCGATAATGTGCAACTGTGGCAATAATTTAAAGAGTTTCATTTAATTTCGAAGTATTTTATTCTCCGCTTCAGTCAATTGATTTTTTTCCCCACCGGGTTTTGGGGGTGGAAAATTATGGTTTTAAGTGATATTTGGATTTGTTTTATTTTATTAGAATTCTTCTAACAGAACGACATTTGATGAATTGATATTTTAAAATCGACGCATGAAGCGAAAACTAGGAAAAACCGATTTTTCGGCTCTGAGTTTTTAATCTGTTTTCTACAACTGAAAGAATTTTGAGATTTGTATTTAATCGCACAGTGTTAAAAATTTTATTTATCCAAAAAATACGATTGGAAAAAAATTTCTATGTCTTTTTATAGTTTTTAATGTAGATTTTTGCAAAGAAAATTAATTCAAACTATAGAATTTTCCTAAAATATTCTTAAATTTTGAATAATTAATATATTTTAATATCTTTTAATTTTTTTTCACTTGAAGACTTTGAAGAAATTTGATTATCTAGAAGGTTTTTTTTATAAAATGTACTCGAAAACTGTTAAAAATCGAGTTTAAAGCAAGAAAAATTTCAACAAATTCCAATAAAATCAACTGAAAAATATAGAAAACAATTATTAGAAGATATTTTGGAGATTATTTAGGTAATTTTGGTAAGTTTCAAAGGTTTCAAAGCGTCAATTACACTAAATTTTCAATTCGCTTTCTTGAAAACTGATGATTTTCATTATTCTTACTTTTCGATACATCCATCGAAATGAAATTTCATCAACATTTCATGCAAAATGACTTGTTTCAATGGCATAAAAATCACTTTAATGTTTAATAGTGTTATTAAAAATATTGCCTCAATAGCAATTTAATTAGTTCAACATGAATTTTTGAAAAATCCTCCGTTCATAATGCAAAATAATGACAAAATATTAACTGTTTTTATCCTGAAGTAAATAAAAAAAGAACACTTCATTTCACCATTTAAATCCAAATAATTAAATATATTTCATCACTTTATTGAAAACTCATTGCAATATGAATTAATAAGCATTTGTATAATTTAATTACTAGAGAAATTGCAATGCGAAAAAATTCTCTTTCACAGTTATGAATTTGATATGAGAGAAATTGCAAATTAATATTAAATCCAAGACAATTAAGCATTTATCAGTTTATTATGCTGATGATTTTCCAAATTTCAGCGGTCTTTCCAGTCTTGAATGGAAAACTTCCCGTCCAGCCCAGTGTTATCGTCGGCAGAGAAAAAGAGCGAAAAGTAATCATATCGAGAGGCAAATCGCGGGATCATTCTTATCGGAATGTTCAATCATTCGGTGTTTCCCCACCTCGTGCCACTGCTGATAATGGACCGCGCTTTTAAAACAGCCCGCAATCAGAAGTCTGGCAGCAGTTTCTGGTGAACCATGAAGATTTTCCTGGTACTCGTGAATGTGTTTCTCGGCTGTTTGGCGGCGCCAAGTGAGTGATTGGATCTCAAGTGATTCTCCGCTGATTTCTGCGACATTTCAGTTGGATTTAATCGCGAAGAATATAAAAACTCGTAAAATATAATAAATGACAACAGAAAGGGTCAATAATGACGAAATCTGACGATAGATAGAGTCATTTTCTTTGGTTTCCGTCCGTCTGTCCGTCAGTCGGTCCCTCGTAAATAAACTTGTAGCGCTTAAACGGTAAAAGATATCGACATGCAGTTTTCACCAAAGATCAAAAATCTGTCCGCCATTTTGAACACCCCAAAAAAACATTTTCCCAATTTACTCAGCCCCTATGGTATGGATTGAGCCCAAATTTTAGTATGTTATAGCTGGCCTCAAGACCTTTCCAACGAACCTCCACTCAAGGACCTAAGTCCTTTCAGACCCTAGATATTAGGGTCCAAATTTGAGACCTTAAACGGCCAAAACTCCTCTTCTAATTGACCGATTGAAATGATTTTGTGTACATTGGAAAGGTCTCGTAAAATCCCATCTCCCACCTAAACATCATAACTTGGAAGGACCACCACTAGGGGCGCTAAACTCAAAAAACAATTTTCGAAATTTCAAAATTGAATAACTCGGAAAAACTTTTATGCATTATCTTTAAATTCTAATATGATATAGCTAAGATCGAGACCTTTCCAACGACACCCTACTTTTAGGGCCCTATTCATTGGGAACGGAGATATAAGAGGTCAAAGTTCACACCTTTACCGGCCCATAACTCCGCTGTTTACCAACCGATTTCGATAATATCTTCATCGAAAGACGTGTCTCGAAGCCCTTCAGTAGGCCATATTCACCATTAGTCTGGGACGTCATAACAAATGCAGCCATATTGAAAAACTTTTGAACGCCTATATCTCAGCAATTGCACCATAAATTTTCTTTAAATTTTAGTATGTTATAGTCCAGGCCAGGACGTCTCTAAAAATAGGTTATAGTTTTTTGTAGATGCAATAGAACCGGAGTTATGGCGGTTTAAAGTTTTATTTTTAAATACGCTCTAACTTTGGTTCTATTTATCCGATTTTAATCATTTAGGGCTCGTTTGAAAGCTCTTGTAAAACTCTACAGCTACTTAGAACAATAGAAGTTCATTTGACCATCTGTAGAGGCGCTAATGTCTGTGATAATATTTTTGAAATTTTAAACTCAATTTTTTTTTAAAGTTATTCTATTTTAAAAGTAATTTTAAGGTACTTTGATAGTCCAGTTTGAGGCGTTTCCAAAATGTAGTTGAACTTCTTTGTCACTGCCATAGAACCTGAGTTATGGCGGTTTGAAATGTTTCTATTAAAACAGGGTTGATCGACTTGATCGCATTTTTTCGAGTTGTTTCGATCACGTCCTTTGTCCTTGCAGATGGCTGGATAATTGGCGGCGATGATGCCACGGCGGGAGAGTTTCCGCACATGCTCTCTCTCCAATGGCACTTCCTGGAGATCCGCAGACACAACTGCGGCGCTTCGGTGATCAACGAGAGATGGGCTCTCACGGCGGCCCATTGCGTGACGGGAACGGTGGTGGAGCAGGGCGGGCGGCTGAGTGTGATTGCCGCCGCGTGGGACTTCCGGGAGCCCGGAGAGCATCAGCAGGAGATCTTCGTGGATCGATTTGTGAATCATCCACTGTATCCGGGCGGCAATCTTGTGGCTCCGCACGACATTGGCGTGCTGCATCTCGAGGAGGCGCTCGTGTTCAGCGACTGGGTGAAGCCCATCGTCTTCCCGCAGCCCAACACCGTCGCCACGGGCACTGGCGTCTTCTCTGGCTGGGGCAACATCCAGTCAGACCCGCCGGCTGTCTTCCCGGACATCCTCCAGCGCGCCGACATGCCCATCCTCACCATGTCGCAGTGCCACGACGCTCTGGTGCAGTTCGGATCGTCGCACTTGCTCAATCTCGAGGGCGACATCTGCACTGGACCGCTGACCGGCGGCCTTTCCGTGAGTTGCACACGGTAATCACTCCCTCGGCAGCTGCTTGACGTCCCAATCTCTCTTCCAGGCCTGCAGTGCGGACTCCGGAAGCCCGCTGGGCCAGTGGGACGGAGATGACTTCATCCAGGTCGGCGTGGCCGCTTGGACGATCTTCCCTTGCGGCCGAGTTGGCGCCCCGACAGTTTATGCGCGCGTCTCGGCGTACATTGACTGGATCAACGAGAATATCGCCGATTGAGTTGTGAAACCATTGAAATTCTAACAAATCTTTGTATTTTCTAATAAATTCAGTACAAATCTGAGCCAAAAAAACATCTCTTGACTTCAAGAATAATCATTTGGTGAATCGAAAACTACGAAAAAGACGATTTTTCAGTTTTCGTCTTATATATTTTTGTATTAAAATTCAAGATTCATACTTGGATTTATATTTTATGAAACATTAATAAGATATTTAATTATCCAAAAAGCACAAATGTGAGAAAATTTCATGCTTTGCGGCGTAAACTATGAAAAATCAACTATTTATCGATCATTTCGTACATTTTTTTTTCTAAGAAAATTATCCCAAAAATTGCAGTTATTCGTTCAAAACGACCTCCAGATATTCAGGATTTTCCTAAAATATTCTTAGACTTTGAATAAATATAATATTTGTGTAATTTTGGAAAAAATTACATGTAAAGTTAAGAAAACTTGAAATGTACTCAAAGACGATTAAAAATCGACTTTGGAAAGTAATATTTTCAGTTTTTCTATTAACTTTTGCCATATTTCAGTCAAAAATTTCAATAAATACCTATAAAAGCAACTGAAAACATTCAGAAAATAATTATTACAGAGTAATATTGAGAATTTTCAGATAAATTTACCAAATTTGGCTAAAAAATAGCGATTTTGACTTCTCTTAGTTTTCGATTCACCCATCAAAATGCAGCTTTTGAAGCACAATGTAACATAATAATGCAAGTTTGAGGAAATTCATCGTGTTTAAGTACGTTATTATCTAATATTCAACGCCTAAAAGAGCGTTAATTTCTATTCACGTTAGATTAGAAAGGGATTAGTCCTTAAAGTAATGGCAATTTGCTTTGGTCACGATTTGCAATGCCCAAAAACTTCGTAATTAGGAATGTTCTCACTTTGCACCACGATTAGTGAGGAAGTTGTTTCTATTTGGCGTCGATATCTTGACTTTTCTCCACTTGTTTCTTGAGATTGAAGGCCTTTTGCATCATGATTGAGACATCTTCATCATATTTCTCCTGATCATGTTTAAGCAGTGCCAAAGCGTTGGCAATTGTTGGTGAATTTGAGTGTTGTTGCGCTGTGAGGAGGCAATTTTTGGCCCTCTTGTAATCACCCAAAGCATGCAGAGCGCGTCCTTTGTGGAGGAACAGCTTCGCCTTGAGATCCTGAGGCACGTCTGGGAAGTATGTTTGAGCGCTGTTGAATTGCACGCACGCTTTTCGTGGCTGAGCCAGCTTATTGAACGCCATGCCGGCGTTGATCAGCAGCGTCACGACGAGATGATTTCTCTCCTGATCCTCGGCCATGTTCGCGGCGTCCGCGCGTTCGAGGATTCGAGCGGCGGCGATGAAAGCGTGGGCGGCGGAAGTGTAGCGATTGCTGCTGAAGGCGATGCGGCCGCTGTTCCTCAACTCCTCCGCCCTCCTCTTCACGCCACTGTAGTCCTTCCGCTCGTGCTCCTGCACCGCCAAATCCGCGCACATCGGCTCCACCTTCACCACGCGAATCAGCAGAAGACCGTCCGCTTTGGGCGGGATTCGCGGTCTGCAGCCGAACTCGCCGTAGAGACAGCTGTAGGGGATGATGAACTGTGCCTGCTCGTGCACCCTCATGGACATCACGGCCTCCTCCAGACCCACAAGAAGCCCACAATTGTCGCCCGTGACGAAGCAGAGATTCTTTCCCGTGAGAAACGTAGAATCCACCGGAACTGGCTTTTGCTCCAGGAAGATCGAGTAGGCGATGGTCACTCTGGCGTCGGACGCGGGAATGGGATCACCGAATCCCTCCAGAAGGACTTTCTTATAGATTCCCAGGCGAATTTCCGTCATTTCTTCCCGAAGTTCAGCGAATGTCTTCCTGGCAAAGTCCGCATTTCGCCACTTCTCCGTCGCCTCCTCGAAGTTCTGCCAATACTCCACACTCAGGTCATCCTCATCATCAGACTCGATGATGTATTCCTGGGACTCAGCATTCAGACAAACACCTTTTCCGGCAATTAATTCGCTGTGAAACAACAATGAAACCAAGAATGAGATTCACTAAACGACAAGCGATCGCAAAATTCCGGTGTTTACTTGATGTTTTCCGATGTCGTTGTAAGATTTCCGTCTTTCACGTACATCTCAGACATGTTCTCTGAGCTTATGTGTTCTATTCTCAGGGAAAAATCTGCCCTTTTTCACGGAAGAACAACAAAAACACAATCCGGCACAGCTGCACCGGGTGCGCCATAAGTTCTGCCAACTGGCTTGCAAGTGCTGAGAAAGTGACAGCTGTCGCGACTGACAGCATTTGAGATGTTGTGGTTTCGGCAAGTGATTCCGCGGAGGTCTCAAATAATCCGCAAATGCTCGTCTTACGTGCAAGGACAGTCACCGCAGAAGGGCATTCGTGAATACTTCTACTTCATAGACCACGAAGGACGCGTAAGTGTGGAAATATACTAGCATTTTGTGGCCATAATTCCACAACATTCACTCCGCAGCTCTATCTGGACGATGCGCGGATGAAGAACTTCACGTCCTGCTTCAAGGACAAGAAGTTCCTGCACTTCTTCTTCACGCGTGTCAAGTTCAATGACATCACGCGCTACGCCGAGACCTTTCCCTACTTGTCTCCGTGTGGCCGGGAGAGGAATTTCATTCGCTGCGACGATCTGCCGATTGTCTACACTCACGTGCTGGATGACGGCAAGACGCTCTCCTGCAACCACATTGGGGAGCTGCTCACGGTGCCCTTTCAGCCGGACAAGATCTTCATGTCTCCGGCATCGGGCAGGGTGTACCATCCGGCGGACGAGAAGTACGGCGCCATTGGACTGATCCGGTCGAAGCTGGCCATCGAGTTGAGCAGGAATTTCGACTTCCTGGACGGCGAAGCGCATCCGCCGACGCATTTCACGTGGAATGGGGAAAAGCATCTGCTCAACAGGCAGTGGGTGACCACAGCCATCACCCAGAAGCCACTTTAGCCAGGAAAAATGTGATCGAATGTTAATTATAGAAGCGTTTTTATTTGATATCTTTACACATTTTGCTGATTATCTCGGTGTAAATAGAATGTTTTTTATTACCGCAAATGTTACATCCTTTTCCTCTCTCTTTCTCTCTCTCTTTCTTTCTCTGGACGGAATGTTATGAATCACCTCTATTGTCTAGTATTAATGAGATTATTTCACTAAGAAATATGTTCTGCCATTTTTACTTCCTAAAAAATTTATCATCTAATCAATTAGTGAGTTACAAACGTTCGTTTCACGATAAAAATATACTCTTCTCGCTCTTAAGGAGCATGGAATGTTTAGTATGGGAATAGTATTTGCAACATCAAAAAAAAAACATGTCTCAGGATGAGACGGAGAAAATTTCTCTAAATTGCATTTGCGTCCCTCCACCTAAATTGTAATTTTAGGATCAAATCGCTATTACTGGTTGAGTTTTTCCTTTCAAGAAAACATGATACAATCCGAAGACAGTACAATTAATACCACTAAAAAAACGTACAAGATTACAAAAAAAAAATTGGGAGATTAGAAGGAATTTGACATCATTTTTCAAATTATTTCCCATCTCGCGACTGAGAGACGTGAAATGAGTGAAAAATAACATGAAAAAGAAATTAGTCTCTTCATTTTCCGTCATTTCATGAACAGATTATTATTAATTAATATATTATTATTAAAAAAAAAATCACTAATTCATTGTGACTGCATTGAATTCAACTGTACAGCATAATTGGCGTGAGATTTTCATTCTTCGTGAGAATTCGTAAAAATTTTCCTTCAAATTCTACAGTCACAAAACACTAAATATTTCCTATCACAGGAGTGAGTTAATTAAAATTAACATGATTCTTTTAAAAGTATTATTTGTTATTTTACGAAGAAGAAGAAAAAAATACATTAATTGTCGCGACGCGTCCTTTTCGCCTCCTTCCTTTGCGGCAGTAGATAAAAAGATTGAATTGCAGAGTCAAAAATACAATATTTCGTGATTAGATTTCTTGCGATAATATCGTGGAAAATATTATTCAAATTAACAGAAAAGTATTTGTTGGCACATCGTAGAATGTATTAATACTACAAGTAAAGTTCAATGCTTGATTTTCTTCCGCAGAACGATGGCATTTCTAGATTCTGCCCTGGTCGCCGTACCAATCCTGCGGAGCCGTCGAACCGGACGCCTGGTAGCTCGTCCTCTGCTCCACATATTGCGCCTGCGCCACGACGTGTCCTTGCTGACCACTTCCGCTGCCGCTCGGAAGCTGCTGGAAAGTCGTCTGGAAGAGAGCAAAAACCGATTAGTGACGATGAAGAAGACTTAAATAAAGCTTATCTGAATCTTTTTCCTCCTTTAAACCAGCCTTTTTGGGGTTGAAAAACGATTAAGCGGTCGTTGCAACTTTCATTTCATCACATTTTAAACAAGATTGTTACGATCTGATCTTTATTCGTGATGGACTGTATTTTCGGATTTCTTTTCTTTCTCTTAGATTTTAATGTAATGTAATCTAATGTATTTAAATACATTAATAGATCCGCGTCACTCTCAGTGCTGTCTCTACCGTCAAATAATGCTAACAGCGAGATTCTCGTCGGAAGAAGAAGGCCGCCATGACAGTGGCATTCCTGCCACAAACCCGAAAAATATGCAATAATGATGATTTTAGATTTAGCACAGACAGATTGGTTTTTCTTGGGTTTTTTGGACATATTTCTATGAACCATGATTGAGTTTATGTGTTTCCGGACATCTCAAAGCATTTGCAACTACATAAAAACTATGTTTTGATTGTTGATTAAAACATCTTCTCGGACATTCTAATCCGCAGGATTTTTCCAGCATTCTGAAGGCGTTTTGACAGCAAAAATTTATTTTGAATTGAAAGTGTAAAGTTGGAACTCAAATTTGTAGCTTTTACGAAGTGAAATACAAAATCTGTAAAGTTACAACGACTCCTAAGTCTTTCTATTCCTTGATTTTAGATCCAAATCTTAGACAAATTCGAAATTTCAGTATCAATTAAAGTCCGTTTCAGTCTTAGAATAAAAAAAAAATCAATTTTCTTCACAAACAAAGAAAATATTAATATTTAAAGGGAAGTTTTAGTCTTATTCATTAAAAAAAACAGTTTCAATTCGATGAAGAAATCGCTTTGTTTTGAGAGTATCTTCCAAAATCTTTAAGTAAGGTGGAAAAGACTCAAATTTAAGTCAGAAGACCACATAATTTCTCCGTGTGAAGATCAAGACTTACCATAAGTCGTCGCGAGCGGCGGAACTTGGGCGTCTGCTCGGGCGAGGACATGTCGGAGCCGGTGTCGGGCGCCACCCAGCGCTCGGTGAATTCGCTGGCGGAGCGCGCGAGACTAGGTTGGCTGAGCGAGCGCTGCAGCGATCGTCGATCGTAGGGATCGTCTTCGTAGTATCGATTGGGGTAGTGGCTGCTGGCGTCGGAGGTGTTGTCCAGGTGGTCCGGACGGCCGAAGTCCACTGTCATCTCGGACATGGATCGCATGTCCACATTGTCAGAGCGATAGGTGGACGAGGAGCGAGATGTGCGCCTGGAGCGGTGCTGCTGCAGCTGCATGGAGATCGGCTGGCTGGGATCCTGGCCGATGGTCCTCACGGACGACCCACCATCGCTGTCGTACTCGTACAGAGTGGGAAGGGAGCTGCGCCGCGATCGGGTGTCCCAGGCCTCCTTCTTCTTGAACCGCTTCGCATTGCGCAGCTCAACGTCCTCCTCGGGCGGCGCCAGGATGCGAATGATCACGTCCCAGGATTGTGGCTCGAAGAGATTCTCGTAGCGCGAGTCACTGCGGATGCGCTCAAAGTCCTCCTTCACCACAGCCTCGGTCAGCATTGTGCGAAGTGTGGATTCCGTCGTGATGATCTCCTTCCACTTGGTCTTGTCCTCGTAGCTGAGTTGGCGCGTGAGGAAGCTCACTGGTGACTCTGTGGATGTGCGATCGTCAATTTCGGTCACCTCCGGCTCCAGGATGCGGATCAGGACGTCCCAATTCGGCACAGTCTTGTCCTCCGGCGGCAATTCAATGGGCTTCATGTTTCCGACTAGTTCGGGGCTGCGCAGCTTCTCTCCTGACTCATCCAAGTACGGCATCGGCGGCACATTCACCGGCGGCGCGCGCTCCATTTGCGGCGTCAGCGGCACACCGGAAATGCTGGAGGATCTGTCAGAGAAGTCCTCCCACTGCGGCTGATTGCCCTCTTCGGCGTACTTGCGAATGGTCACATCCCACGTGGGATCGGGCAGTGGCTTCGCCGATGCGTACTCAGTCACCTTCCGCTTGTACTGCTCGATGTCCTCGATGGTCTTCTTCTCCGTGATGGTGCGCAGGAACACATCGTCCACCACGTGTGAGGTAATCTCGGGTTTGCGCATCACGTGGATTGGCGGCTCTGGCAACGCCTCGGTGTTCTCCATGTGCACCGAGGAGCGGTAACTGCTGATGGGGTACAGGTGAGATGAGTCCATCATCTCGCCGATGGAGTGAGTGTCTGTCATCTCGGTGCCCAGCGACGCAATGCTGCGCGTGTCGGGGATTGACGGCGGCGCATCCACAATGTCCTCTGGCCACGGGCGCTCCTGGCGCTGCACAATCTCCTGCTGCTTCCGCACGATGCGCGAGAATACCGGCGGCGCCTGCACGTGACGAGGAGCGGGATGCAGCTCGGGCACGTACGTGAATTGACTGTGCGCCACATCCTGAGGCAGTGAATCAATGGTGAGAATGCTGTCGCGATCCTCGTGACTCTCCATAATCGTGGACAAGTTGTTGCGCTCAATGCGACTGTTGGCCACGCTGTCGGTGTCCGAGGACAGCGAAGCCGGCGGCGGTGGAGCCGCTCTCTTCACGCGCACCTGAACGTCGAACTTGGGCGAGGACTCCTTCACGGCGAGCGGCAAGCGAGGCACCATGGACGCCTGCGCCACGGCATTGGCCGCCTGGAACTCCTGCGTGTGGCCATAGTGTTCGCTGTAAATGCTGGAGTTGTCCTGCACGAAGGCGCGGTTCTCGAAGCTCCCCGTGGAGCTGACTGGCAGTGATCGCGTGTCCACCTCCTCAATCTCCGAGTGACTCTCGCTGGGATAGTCGGACGGAATGGTGTCAGAGATGAGTGGTCCGTCGCTGCCTGAGGAACTGTGGACTGCAGCCAGAGGCGCATGAGCGCGAGGGATCTTGAGGCCCTCAAAGGCGCTGATGTTGCCCAGACTGCTGCCGCTGAGTTTCGTGATCTCCGATCCGCTGCCCATCGACATGGGCAGACGTCGCACGACAGTGACTGGCCGTCGACGGAGGCAGTAGTACGAGACGCCCAGGCCGAGGAGGAGCAGCGTGAGGAACATGATGGCGCATATGATCAGGAGAATCTGGATGCCCTTCAGCGGCGCCTCTATAATCGAAGCCGGCGCCACGTCGTTGAAACTGCAAAAGAAGAGTGACGATAAAATGAATCCAAATGATGTTGTCTGGATGCATTTTCTCAAAAAAAAAAATGCCCAAAAACCCATAAAGAATGGAGTTTGAGCCGCAGAGAATCAGTTAATCGCCAGCCATGCCGAAAAACGAGGCGAAGAGCCCAAAAGCCCCCCTTTTATGTGGTGTATTTGAAAGTAAAATCTCTGCTGCACGAGATGAAACACAAACTCCGCGATTTACTTGGTATTCAGAGCATTTCTTCACATTTTACGATTAGCCCATAAAACGCTGGACTTTTTACTGATAATCACTTCCAGGTAAACCCTTAATGCTTATGCTCACGAGATTGATTATAGATATTAACTTACATTGGCGCAGGCAATCCTGCAGGAATTGGCGCCACAGGCGGAGGATATCGGCAGACAATTGTTATAATCTCATCACCGTCCATCTCCAGACCAGGATGAAATCTCACAACGATGTTGTTCGTGAACACTCGTTGCGGTTCCTGAGAGAGAAAGTCAATGATTTGCCGTTAGCAAGGGGGAGATATTGTGGTCAGAAGTGGTGTACAGTTCTGCAGAAGTGTTCAGAAGTGGAAGTTCTTGAATATTTCCAGCATTAGGTGGTTAAGAGCTACTTTCAAAGTAAATTAACGCAATACTTTGAGGATTTTGCAATATTTTCTTCAAGAAAAATCCCATTGCTTTTTTAGGTTATGTAACTAACTTTAAACAAAGCTTAGTGGCTAAATAACATTAGGAAACATCAATTTTTACACTCAAATTGGAATAATTAAAAATCCTTAGCAAAGTTGAGTGTTTTTGATCAAATGTTAAACTGTGTTTATTACGCTGAGATTGAACATAACCTCTAAAATATAGTTTCAGGACAGAAAATTGTCTGTTTTAACAGCTTTCTGATGGATTTTCTACTCCAAGTAGCAAATTTCAGCTTATTTTTGATTTATATCTGCTTAATATATCCAGGATTTAAGTTTATTTCAAAGATTCTTTTAAATATCTGAAGGTAATTTTTAGGTTATGTTTCGAAATGCATCAATCATTCAATTTAATCTGGTGGAAACTTCAAATATTTCTTAAATACTGTTTCTCTGTAAGTTTTCAAAGTCATATTAGTAAAAATTGAGTCTTTTAAGACAAATACAACCTAAATTTGAGGTTATGAAAGATTTTAGTCACGTTTCAAACACTGTCAAAGTTCTGAAAGTGTCTGTGATTAAGAAGTCTTGCAATAAATCTCTCACCTGCTTCGTGCCACATCCTTTGAGGGGCAGTTCTAGCTTATAGCTGAGATCTCCTTTGCCAAGGATCTGACAAGCGCTGTTCCGATCGAAGTCTGCATACGCAATTCCGTAAAACTTCTCGTTGAACTTGAGATCCACTTGCATTGATCCTGCGCCGCAGTTGAGCGCAGCTTTGGTTCGATTGAGGAAAATTATCGGGCTGAGATCGTCCAATTTGGTTACCTGTTGATTGAGGAGAGAATTAATGCATGGTGGAAAAGGAATGATAAATTGATGGCTTTAGAGGAATCACGGGAATCACTTTTATAAGTTCAAAATTCAATCAAAGCCAATCAATTGATTCTGCTCATATTAAGCCCAGTGATTTATATTACGGTGTGTTTGTTAAGCACTGAAGAGGAACTCCGACAGAGAATCACCTCCATGTGGAGATCTGTGAATTAATTGCCGCCTATTAATCTCTGCCGCGCTCTATTGGTCAGTGAGGTGAATGTTTTATTAATCAATTTTCCACCTACTCCCGCGTAATTGACTTTGCCCACGATGTGTGAGGGACAAAAGATGCGATTTCCATCAGCAGATCGCTTCCTCAATTCCCGCGGGAGATTTACAATCGCCAAGAAGACCGCCTTCTCGCCCAGGCGCAGAGATCAAGACCCGCGCGGACTTCGTGCGACAAGAGTCCAATGCGGAAGTGAACTCACCTTTCCGTCCAGAGTGGCTTCCTCGGGCAGTCCTTCGCCCTGGTACTCCACGTTATTTGCATGCGATGCATAATTTGACTGGGCCAAAGTCGTGATCCAGCTGCAGCTCAGGCCAAAGAGGATGCAGTAAATTGCCACAGAGCGATTCATCTGCAAATGGGCAAAAGAGGGTTTTTCATATTTAGAAATCATAGACGAGAGAGAGAAAATCATCCGGCATTGTCTCCGCCGTGTGCGGACATGGAATTATAGTGGGAGGGGAATTTAATTGAATGCAAGGGGCAGATATTGTGGTCGGCAGTGGTGTACAGCTTTGTGGAAGTGTTTAGGAATTGCAAGTGGCAAAATATTTGGATTATTTGCATAGAAAAAGCTTCAATTTCAACAAATTGAGGCATTTTCTATATAATTTTACTTAGATAAACAAATTTTATTGCTTTTTTAGGTTATGTGATTGACTTAAAACAGATTTTGGTGTTCAAATAACCCTCAAAATTATCAAATTTGTGTTTATGCTGAGAATATTTCTCTTTTTCTTGGTAAAGTTGAGTATTTGTGCACAAAAATCTGCGGATTGATTAGATTTCAATAGTAAGAAAGTGCTTAAAAGTCAATCATAACCTCAAAAATATAATTTTAGCCTAAAAGAACGAGTTTTACTTATTTATTTTCACGATTCGTGCTATAAAGTAAAAAAAACTCAAATTGATAATCTAACACATTGAGGCATTTTAAATATCATTCTGCTTAAAAAAAACCAAATTTTTATTGCTTTTCTAGGTTATGTGATTGATTTAAAACAGTTTCTGACGATTTAATAACCCTCAAAGTCATCAAATTCGTGATTAGGCTGCCAAGATTTCTCTTTTTCACCACAGAATTGAGTATTTTCTATCGAAAAACACTTGATATTGACTGAGAAAATGCTAAAATTCAATTATAACCTCAAAAACACCAATTTCAGTCTAAATAAATGTTTCTTTATTTAGTTTTTTCCGCGGTTTTTGCATTAAAGTGACAAAATCAACAAAATATTCACTCACATTTACTCATATTCAGGTTTATTAAGATCTAAATTAGTCCAAGAAGGATGTTTTAAGACGAATTCATAACCTCACAATTCGGTCAGAATTTTTTAAAGCATTTTCTGAAGGAAAAACTTCAAAAAGCTATGGAAAGTACCTTCGAAAACATTCAGAAGTGTCTGAAGTGTTGAAGATTCTGCAGAGCAATTTTGAAAGTGTCAGGAAGTGGTGTACAGATTTGAGGCATACTATCTTCACCTTGATTGAATGCTGAATCGAAAAGATGTAATAAAAAGTACGCTGCGAGTCACAGAATTAATTCACCACTTTCTTCTCTCTCGCTCTCTCTCTCGACATGCTTATAAACATCAATTGCATAACGTAATTATATATTAGTCATTCTCATTTATTGAAATTTTTAGAAAGTGAATTTCTTCCATTCAAATGCGACTCGTGAAAACAACAAAAAAAAATTACACTTGCTCTGGGAAAAATGTCGATGTTGCATTTTCTCTATTTTTATTGTTACGTTCCAGTGTTTCAGTTGGCAAGAAGATGGTATATTGTTTCCAACGCCATGAGAAGATGAGAACATATGAGGAATTATTGTGATTTTTGCAGTGAAACACGAATGGAATTTCGAAAAAAATATAATTTACAACGTATTTCTGACACTCGCGAGAATTCATGATGCCAGTAAAATTGTGGGAAAAATATACAGAAATTCCAGAAGGAAAGTGTGCTGCAATAAGCTTATCAAGTTCCATAAATTATCAGTTGAAGATATATTGTTTAATGGATTTGAATAATTTCACCTGGAAGCATTCAAGTTGCTTATTTTTTTCAGTTCTTTTCACCTGACAAAAGACAGAGGCAAAATTGTAAAGAAATTTTCACTGTAAAATTTCATAAATACAACTGTTAAGTCCACAAGAACCGTACTTTCAATTTAAAAGATCTTCTTGCGGTAACTTTCTTGTGCATTTTATGAGGAAAATTGTATGGCATAAAAGCCCCAAAATATGACTAGAATAATTTAATTTTAATAATAGAAAAAAAGAAGCTCATAAAATGCTCTAATTAATTGTGAAACGTGCAGAGAATTAACAGAAATACTTTTACTACAATTATTCCATCTGTGCAGCGTGTTTCATAAATCCACACTCGTCTCAATTAGAGGTGAGTTTTATGGAATGTTAAACTCAATTCCGAAGACAAGGCAACACCAATATTTACACAATCGTGCCCATCGCTCACTTTTGCGTGATTTATGGAATTTTATATTTTAATGAACGTATATTCAATTAGTGATGAATTGCGAAGCACCGCGCGATTTGAATTGCTCAATCTCGCGCGCCTGGACAGAAATCTCTTTTGGATTTTTCTTGTTGAAAACATCATTCGCATTAAATTCAATAAAACATTAAGAAGCTAAAAGTGTTGTTTCACCACGAGACTCCTGAACGAATTGAGTGAACAGTTATAACAGATGTTTCTGCATTATAATTGTAAAATAGAAGAATGAAAACATGAAATTATCTTCATGTGGCACGGATTAGAATCTCACTCCATCAGCCAAGCCCCAGAGTGTCCACTAAAGCCAGAAGAATGGGAAAAAATACGCGCCGAGAGCAATGAGAACGGAAATGTTTGTGGGGATTCTTTTTCTCTCATCAGCTGCAATTTCAAATGTGATATTTTTCATAGTTGGAACTATTGCCCTATCGTCTCTCATCTCGCCGTAAAAACTTCAACTGTGCAACTGTTGATGGTAGAGTTTGATTTAGCGCGCTTTTCAGCACAGTTTTCATGTCGACGGGTGAATAGAAAACTATAAAAAACCAAAATCGCTATTTGTCAGCAAAGCGAGATCAAAATTTAGCCTCAATATTGCTGCGAAATTTGCCAAATTTACTTCAAAAACCCTCAAAACACCTTCAAATCGTCCGTTAAAGTGCAAATATTGGTCTGTATTTATTATTTTGTAAATATTTTAGTTGATTTTATTATAATTTTTGACTAAAATATGGCAAAATCAATAGAAAATCTGAAAATATTACTTTCCAAAGTCGATTTTTTCCAAACAAGTTCTAAAAAATCAACTTTTCATATATGATTTGAACTGTTATTTGAAGTTTTCAAGTGAAAAATTTAAAACATATGAGAAATAATCATTCAAAGTCTAAAAAACATTTTAAGATATTTCTCAAAATCTATAATTATTTTCTGTAAATGCATTTTATGCGTTTGACTGCAATTTTTGAGACATTTTTCATACGGCGTTAAACAATGAGAATTCGGCTTTTTATTCAGAAAACATGGCAAGTTTTACCATTTCTGCTTTTTAGATAAATAGGATTTTTTACTATTGTCTCATAAAATACCATTAGCAAAATTTTGGAACACATAAGAGGAAAACTATGATAAATTGACCTTTCGTAGTTTTCGATTCAACCGTTGAATGTGGCTTTTTGTCACACAATTCACCAAATTCCACATTTCTTCACTATGATGCTATTGAAAATAGACGAGAGGAAGTGGTGATTATAAGTTTTTGCCTCTTCATCGCCATCGTGTGACTCAATCAATGGGATTTTCGAGGTGGAAAAGCATGAGCGCGAGATTGAGAAGCGCAAACATGCAAATACGGAAGGAAGACGCGGCAAAATGTGCGGGATATATTTAATCATGGTTGTTTCTTAATTACTCATCAGCTGATGGAAATTCATTCATCGTCAGCGAAGAAGGGAAAATGCTCATTTCCATACTATGGCTAGACAATGAGTACAAGAGTATGTTGCGGAGGGGCGAAAAAACATACAAAATGCATTAAAATACTGGACCGTGTCCAATTCCATTCACGTCACTCCTTTTCATCAATGGGAAAAACGATATACTGGACTCGTTGTACTACGACAGAGTGAAACGCTCTTTCCCAGGGGGCAAATCACTCGCCAGTTGAGGCCCTTGACTTTGTGAGTATTACTCAAATTTTGATTATTTCATACAAAATCCTGAATATTTTTTTTAATTATTTTCTGAATATTTAATCAAAATTTGAATATAATTGAATAATTATTAATATTCGGAATATTCAAATTCATTTATTGAAAAAATCTTTTTTATTATTATTTTATTCAAATTTTTTTTAATAATTTTGTAATTTTACTTGGGAAAATAATCAATTTTTTTTATTATTTCATTCAGAATTTAATTATATTGTAATTTTACTTGGAAAAATAATCATTTTTTTTATTATTTCATTCAGAATTAAATTATATTGTAATTTTACTTGGAAAAATAATCATTTTTTTATTAGATTTAATTAAGAATTTGTTTATTTTACAATTTTGACTTGGGAAAATAAATATAACTTTAAAAAAAAAACCATTTTTTAATTAGATTTAATTCAGAATTTGATTATTTTGTGATTTTATTTGGGAAAATAATATTTTTTTGATTATTTTAGTCAAATAATTGATCATTTTATTAGAAAACATTAAGTTTCCTCAAAAATCGTCTTGTGATTTGCCCCTTGGCTCTTTCCCTTCAGCACATTTTCCACCTTCAACTCGCCATTTACACGCACAATCTTCATTTGCATTTTCTCTCGCTTTGGTGCCTATTATTTGAACAAAAAAATCCGCTACTTTACTTCACTCCGTCCAAGTTGGGACTCTTCTTGAAGTCGCCTCTTTAAGGCCTCTTCTCTTCTCCATCACGCTGACTTCATTCTCTTGTTCACCTTTCCCGCCGCGCGCTGCTCTTGAGCCTCAACCGCGAGCACGTTCAGGCCAACGAGATATGAAATCACAGGAATTTGTACAATATTTCAAGTGCATGCTTTCCGATCTGCACATTCACGTGGTTTCGCTAGCGCTCTCAATAACTTCTAATGGCTTTTTCCCTGCCCCATAATTATGTAACGCGAGATAATTGCGCTCAAGTCTTTGCGCGAAGAGCTTCAGGATTAAGGCATTTGATAGCATTTTTAAACTCAAGGGATTGCTAATGTCCGAGATGCAGTTATAATTATTTACAATATTTGTCGATATTCGCGATTGATCGGATTTAATACTAAATTAGATGAATTTAATTTTAAAAAGCCTTTCCTTGGGTTAATAT